AAACTGTTTGTTAGCTATTATTGAGTTTTGGAGAATTAGAAGCGTTTGACTCATCACTGCTTAAGAAAACATTTTCGTGAAAATGTAACTCATTTTGATCTAAAGCTGAAGGACTGGAAGATTGCGACGTCTTCTTAAGGATGCCTCGAAGGCGTCCATCGCCTGGCGATAGGGGTGACGGCGGCGGCTGTTTTGGCTCCGGTTGTGGTGTGAGTGTAGCGCCGGTCAGCACCGGGACCGCCAACGGATCCTTCGCCGAACTCGACGTAATGCTCTCCCTTTCCCTCTGAAAGATCCTCTTCAGCGATGATCCCAACCTCTCGACCTTTTGCACAAAATTCAATAGTGTTTTTGTTATCAATCATTGAATGGTTTGAAAAGTTTCAAAATAAAGTTCATATAATTATTCAAGTTTTCAAAAGTAGATAAAAAGTGTTGACAAACGAAATACGAAAACATAATTAATCACCTGTTTTAAGGCACACTCGCAGTCGTTTTTGATGGCACTCAACAAATCCATTTCAGTCCTTAAGACACTCATATCCCACATGAAGTTTTCAGCGATTTTGTCGGCTTTTCTGCCTTTAATGCTTTGAGACGTACAATGAGTGGGCAATTGATCGCCAAGACTGACGACCGTTTCGTGAATCTCAGACAACTAACACAATAGAAGACAACAAAAAGGTTAGAAACTTCTTAATAATATAGTTATGGAGTGAACGCCAGTTATTATGAATTAATTGTGTTTCACATGACATACCATTTCTATGGAGTTCTTGGCGTTTTGGGTCACGTAATAGAACTCAGAGACGGCTTTCTCTACGGTATTCATTGTCTTCGTTAGCTTTGGTGTCAACTCTCCCGTAGCTCTCAGTACCGGATACTAGAGATACGAATACATTAGGCTATAGATTCTCAATCATTATTCTGTGTAACCTTTTCTATGCAAAACATTTTCTATATCAATATTAATTCATTACGTGAACGGGAAATACATTTGTTAGAGCACGGGAAATAAATTAATGAAAATAAAAAAATCAATGATGGCTATAAATAAATTTGCGAAATATGTGCTTAATCTCGATATCGATAAATAAGTGAAGTTTATATGCCGTGAAACAGTGTGTTATATGTGCGATAATAATATCGATTCTTTAAGACTTGAGATAAACACTATGTTTTGAAATTTATGGGAATAGATGAGGACTTACCCCCTGATCAGTGGTGACCACTTCGCACGTTTGAACGGTGGAAGTGGAGGCCAGCCTAAGAGTGACCACTCGCAGACATTGAGCCATATTAGCCGACTCTTGCAAAGAGCACTCATCGCACAAATCAATGATAACTTTCTCGACACCTCTCCTCAATTGGATTGACTCGTGTATTAAAGTGGAGGCGTTTTTGAACTGTTCGTCAATGGCTTTGACACCAATAGACCGCAAATCAGTGGACTGTTTCTGAGACCAACTCCTTTTCCGTCGCAACTTCTGTTTGGATCCGTACCGATGGGTCAGAGAGATGTGGACGAAGAGAGTGGCGGTGGGAAGACATTCGCCGTTCATGTTATTGAGTCTAATGTGTTTGTAACCGCTTTGGATGCACTCCACGGGAACCACTTTCTCGCCGATGAAGTCGTCGTTGATATAGTCGTCGTCGAGCACCACAAACCTCAAGAGCGCTAATTCAGGCACCGATACGTTGAACTCGAAGCTCTCCTCAAAGAGGGGATTATCGTTGGAGACGGTTCTCGTGCGCGCCTCCGCACAGTCCGCCGACACACCAAACATCTGGACCATCACATAGGGGTCTATTGACGTGGCCTTACTGGACGCCCCTCGAGGCCGAGGCAACTGCTGACCACTTATTATCTTTAGGCGAATACACAACGGATCGATCCCTAAGTTTTAATAAAATACTGGACCATCACATAGGGGTCTATTGACGTGGCCTTACTGGACGCCCCTCGAGGCCGAGGCAACTGCTGACCACTTATTATCTTTAGGCGAATACACAACGGATCGATCCCTAAGTTTTAATAAAATAAATTTAAATAATATTCTGTTATAATATTCTGTTATAATATTCTGTTATAATATTCTGTTATAATATTCTGTTATAATTTGATTTAAAATACATTTTTATTTCATTCATACACTACAAATACTACAACTTTAGTGAACTCGGAATAATCAATGAATTTCATTTCATTTCATTTTTAAAACATAAACAAAAAGTCAGTCTTTCGGCTAAGAATTCTTTAACATTTATAGAGTTTATGATAAATGTATACAAATAAATCATCCAAAAAGCAATATATTTTATTTAATTAATCAGTTTTTTGTTAAATAATAACACATGCTTTGTTGAATTTATGAAATGAGTGACATTTGTATTCATTTTAATTTAAAATAAAATTATTTTGCATAATATTTCTTGACTTAAATAGGTTTTCATACATAAAAAGAAAGACGTTTTGAGTTTCGTTTACTTACGGAGAAAAGAAAAGCAAAGACAAAGAAATTTATTTAACATTATTTTGAGAAATAAATTTAAGTAAATTCTTTCATACTTTGAATTTATTCTATAAATATTGTAATACAACAATTTCCAATGAAACGCTGAATTAATTATATGGCGCGAAAAGGGCTGAACTCAGCGTAAAACTTATGAAATTCATATACAGTATTATATATGAAATTAATAGCTTCACTACCGGTGAGTATGAATAACAATTATTGTAATAAAACGCAAAAATTGCACATTTTATGCAAGTTTTTAATTAAACAAACTTTGAATTGAAGTTTGAAATAAGACTCGAAATGAAATGAAATGAAACCTCTAATTATTGAATGAAATATAATTAAAGTTGGAATTAAAATAATAATTTTATGTTATATTTAGAAATACACTTCACTGTAATTATTTACTTTATAATAATTTATGCTTAAAATAAATAATATTCACAGGTCTTGAATTGAAATGCATTGTATGGTGTGTGCAAACTATAGGACATACCGGGCAACGAGTCTTTCCGTCTGGAGTTAAACAAACAGAACCTTTCCCTAAGAAACGCCGGTTTCAATACATAACCGCACGAACCGTTTTGACTGAACCAACCCCTGTACAGATCCATCATTTGTCCGCCGGTCTGTCAAAGACGTTCATTAGTGGAGAAATAAATGATATTTTGTGTAAGAAATTAAGAAATAATTAAAAAGCAAAAAAGAAACTATGATATGATGTATGGGTTAGTAAACCTGGTAATTCATAGCGACTAATTGGACGCCACAGTTCCAGAAGTCCAGTGGATTGACATTACTCGAGTCGACACGACTGACATCGGGCGAGACCTGAGTGATGAAGGCCTTGTTATGGTGGGCCAACTCCTCGGCACAACTCAGCGCCAACTTGGAGGCCAACGCTTCGCTCAATTGACTCACTTCTGACTCTAAAGTATCGTTTAAAGTAAAGATGTTTCGTAAAAATATATCGCAGTCTATAGTATCGGTACAAAAATATATCGCAGTCTATAGTATCGGCACAACAAATACGCTGAGAATTAAGTAAAATATAATTAGAGGCAAAGAATTGAGAGCTCAGAAGATATTAGACGACAAATCCTTATATGAGTGGAATGGATGTCATAAAGACATCATTAATACATCTTAAGATACAAATTCCCAAATCATAGAATCAGATATAAAATGAGCAAATATTCTGAGTATTTGTTTCAAATAGACGACAAATCCTTATATGAGTGGAATGGATGTCATAAAGACATCATTAATACATCTTAAGATACAAATTCCCAAATCATAGAATCAGATATAAAATGAGCAAATATTCTGAGTATTTGTTTCAAGCCCTAACTGATTGTGACAGACAATTGATTCTCCAGACAATAGATTATCTTTAAATACGAATGTTTGCGTTGTTTGACGAAAAATATTTTATGTTCACAATAAACATAACATTCATAGTAATGTCAATAATAAGCTTGTTTTTCGTAAATCCACTTTAATGGATATAATAATAATATTTTATTTTGCTCTAAAAAGCAATAATTACTTTGGGTGTTATAGATTTTTATATATTATATAATATACATCAGTATTTTTGGTTGTATTAATGTTTGATGTTTCAAATTGTGAGAATACTATTGGTATAAAACAATATAAATTTATTATAATGAGTAAAACTTTTCTATTTATTGATTGATTACACTTAATTGAATTCCAATGAAAAATCTTTAATATTCTTAAGATTAAGATACGAGTTTCTGACGTTATTTTAAATTCAAAATATTTGTGAACAGTATTCACAATAGAATGTAAAATCTTTTACAATGAAAAGGAATTCTTTATATAAATCAAAGAAAATGCAAATTTCGTACAAAAGTTGCATTTTGGGTAAATCAATGCTATATTTTCGTTGAAACCATTTATTTTCAAGAATAATTTTAAATGAGTTTGCAGTAAGAATTTGAAATAATTATTATTAATATTATTAATTATTATTCACAAGAATGTATTAATGAATTTGCATAAATTTAATATGCAATTCATTTTATTTATCTTAAAGTCTATTATAATATTATATAATAATTTCTGAAAACAAAATAATTCTTGTCAACAGAAATGAAAAATTTAATCATTTTTGTAAATGTGATAACTTTTGAGCAAAAGTTTCTGTAATTGTAATTAAAGGCATTCGTAGGGCATATAGGAAACCAAATATGAATGAATAGAGAAATAAAAAGTAAATCAAAGATATTACAAATGGTATTATCGGTTAACTAAATATATTCTTAGGTTAAGTGCAATCAACGGAAACATTCGTAAAAGTCATACAAATTAAATGAATACAAATATATAAATAATTAAATACAAATGAATTAATTGTGCCTGTATACTACTCTATGTATGTCTTGTAATGTAGTCTCACTTTTAATTGAATGGACTGTAAATCGATTAACACTAATGATAACCATCACTACAACCACTACAACGACTACTAATAAAGAATATATGAGACAAAAAATGGGTTAATCTTTAAAGCGATGGCCAATACAGTGAACACATTCAACACATGGATACTAATGTATTAGCCATTACTGAATGAGAGAATACCGATGAGTATTGTATTGCTTTAGTACTAATGATATGTGTGTTTGTATTGACGGATCAATACTTGGTGTATTATTGACAATATATGATCGGGTATATAAGGGGAACACTCACGAGATTGTTGCAGTGATGAGAAGTCAGATAATCTAATCCGAGTCAATGCAATCAAATCTGAAAGTTCTGGACACAAAGGAATGTGTTTGTTGTGAACATCTCTTCCGCGAGATTCATCGTCTTCGTCGCTAACGTTGCCGTCGTTTGTGTCACCATTTGGTGATAACTTCTTTCCCTACGGATTGATTGGCATAAGAATTTAAAAAAGATATCACCAAAAATGACAAACTCTATAAATATCATAAATATTTCGATATAAACGAGAAGTTTGTTGCATTCAATAAGAAAAAAGTGGAGTACGTGTGCGCTCTGACCCATTTTGACGGCAAAATGCATTTCTTAATTAACACATCTAATACTTTAAATGTTTAATCATATTTTTTTGCTGCAAATGTGTGGAAATATCTGTTACAATATGAGGTATTTCTTAGTTATTTCTCTAAGCATTTGATATATAAAATATATTTATTCAAAGAATGCATTATAAAGTATAAGAAAAATATTATTCTGATTCAACACTCTATTACATCTGAATAATAGAAATGGGTTTCAGCGAAATGAATATAAACTCATATTGAGTTCAATATATGTGAGCGGGTGAAACGGAACCAATATTTGACTATTGGATAAAAATCTTACTTGTTAGAGAATACTATCTAATAATGAATGAAATGGCTAAACATGATAAATAATCATAATTGTAATATTGGTTTGGTTTTCTATGTGCACACGTTTGAGTGGAAAAGATTGGAAATAAAATACAAATACTTTCGGTACGAAAATAATAAAAAAGTTGATGGCATATAAATATTTAATAAAATCAATGCTGTTAAGTGTTGTTTATTCAATACGAAGCAATATATATATAATATAAAAGGTTAGACTTTCATCATTTCATACAGGGATGGGTATTGAATAAGTGAGTGAAACCTTTATGATGACTTTTCCCCGCAGTTGTTCCGGTGATACTTGAGCCGCGAGTAAGGGTTCTTCAGCGCTAGGAATATGAAGAGTCGCACCGAAAGTATTCCTAAACATCGTTGACATCTGCTTCTGGTTGTCCACCGAACAGTGATTCTCCAAATGGATTATCAATGGATATCTGAAAGTTATTAATGAATATATTGAGTTTATTAAAGAGAAAATTTATAAATTATTCAGTGTTTGCAGTTAGGCCTACAGTATGTTATTTGAGTCGATATATAAATGATAGAATTTTGTTGTTTAATTCAGTTTATTCAGCAAATTAGCAAGTTTATTCATTCAAATAAATCCAATTTCAATATTTATTGTATTTAGGAAAAACAAAACATCAGTGAATGAGTTCAACCTCACAGTTAATATACATTAATGAATAATATGCTATAGTTGGCACTTTTATAATTCTATAGTATTTATTTAATTAAATAAATAAATTATATTTAGATCAAAATAAAAATGTGTTAGCTTCTGATTTTATTCGTTTGCTTTAAAATACTAGTATTAAATAATATGTTTGAAATTGTTACTTTTGTTTAGAGAGCACATTATAACTTATATTTTCATACTTTACCATCTAATTTTATTAATTTCTAATTTTACTTTGAAAAATAACTCAATTTAGGTAAATATCGGATATCATACCATTAAAATCAATAACAAAAGTAATTTTTAAATTAAATACAGTATTATTATGTCACAATATAATGGCATTAAACTATTAAAAAGTATTAAATTTCACATAATACCATCAATTATGATGTAAAATTAGCATTTCCAACATATTTACCGTAATTATTAATATAATGATATCTATTTCTAAGTTCTAAAGAGTATTTATGCAATAAAGCACTATAACTACAAAAATATTATAAAAGCATTATCTAATAGTTAATTCTAATTTTAACATGTTTGTTTTGAACTAGAGAATATTTTCTAAAATGCTAAATTATTTTCTAAATCTCAATAAATTCTCATTGGACTCAAAACTAATTCCTCGAAAGCCTTTTCGTCGCAAATATTTCACTAAATCCTGGATTTTTGGGGCAAATTTTAAATTTATTGATTTTAACATTAGACTTTAAAAAAATTATTTTTCCGTTATACTGTGCAATTTGTTAATACTGGTATTTATTATATACAATACATTCGTCTCAAGTGTTTTAGATTAAAAATACTTTTAATGCAATATAAATTTCGTGTTAACCTTTTGTAAAGTTTTTAATTTATTAAAAGACAAATTAATATAATAAAAAGTAAAATAATAATAAATTGAATGTAGATTACTGACGAAAAGGGGATTAAACAATAATTAATTTCTATAATCATTACAGTAGACATACAATTCAAATATGTTTAAATAAGATCTAATTATTGTATACTATATCTTATACTAAAAGATTATTTTTGTGTCATTTATACGAATGAGAAAATCGATATCTAATGTATTACTGAACTATAAGCCGTTTATTCACATAACACTCTATTAATCGACAATTTATTGATTAAAGCATAATGAATGTATTAATAATGATAATTGGTGTGTAAATGAATGGCAAAACAAATATGGACTAACTCTGAGACGACAAAAGCATTGGCATGAATGGTCTCGAGGATGTCCTCCAGAGCTACTTTAGAAGTTAATGTATTTCCATGATATACAACGGGACCATCATTTCCATCATAACAGTCTACTTTCACACAACGACACCCTTTAATAAAATCTGTATTAAGCAAACAAAAGCGCACTGAATATGATTGCAGAGACAATACCTTGGAGTAAAGCTCTGGCGTATCCCTCAGCACTTGACGGACCTTTGAGTTGGTCTTCGAGTAGATAACTGTGAATACAATGAATGCAGAGATTAGTGTCCATTGAATAGCCTTCGTGACTAAGACTGACGTGTTATGAGAGGTTGAGATGAAATAATGTGATAATGGCTGAGACATGTCGTGACAGATGTCTTTGTGATGGACTGACATTATATCGCATTCTTCTGAGAGCAGGAATTGAGTGAAACCATCGATGAGTAACTGCTTGTTATTTCGGGCCTCTTCTGAGGGCTCGTATTTCATGATGAGATCCATACACTCGTCGACACTCAGACCATACACACCCTGTTCTCCCTCCAGAAACAACTGCAGGTCTTCCACAGTCATGTAATCTCTTCCACAATATCTAAAGATTTAGACATTTGTCGAAAAACGAGTTAAATATTGTATTTCAATGAAACCTCAAATAGTGTACAAGTAGTATATAAATCGTTAAATATGTGCTAAACTTTCGATAAGAAAATGTCATCAAATATATGGAGACATACCGGACGAGGATGAAGTAGATGTCAGGTCTTGTGCTGGATTCTGTAAACAAAGTAATGAACACTTTTTTGCTGATCCGACCCCTTTCCTCCTCATCCTTTCCGAACTCAAATTCCATTATCTTTTGCTTTAAGCTTCTAATACAGAGCTTATCATTGAGTTTCTTCATGAGTGCAATGGTTTCCCATTCGTCTAACATTCCCTTCTGGTCGCTGTCGGCCGCATCAAACACCTGATGCAACCACTTCTCCCGCATCTTCTGTCGGCCCTCAATAGAGTCCGGCGCTAAACGGCAGTGGAGTTCAAGAATTTAATTAACAATATTCTGTTGCCTAAGAATATGAGACTATGAATCATATTAAACTATGGAAACCCTGAAGGCCTGAAGAAATTATCAATGTCAATGAATGCTAAATAGTGAATGAATAAGTGCAGCAATCATTTCATTGAATTCATGCGGAATTCTGTACTAAGAAAAGTGTTTTCATTAAATTACTTTAAAAATTAATACTTTATAAAGGCATTACACATAACGAAAATTAGTAATATTATTCGTTTTACTTTATTAAAAAATAAAATTCATAAAGACTTCATTAATTACTAGAATAAATAATAATCTAATTATTTATTAATACTATAATCCTAATTAATGCTCATATCTAATAACGGCTAAGTTTGCCTCTAATCTTAGAAATGCGTATAAATATGAATTAATTTTT